CTTGTTCACCTGCTTGTTAGATCCTCTTCCCAAGGTCTGGCCAGATATTCAGTACTCAACTGCTCAGTCTTTGAATGAATGAAATTTACTCCCCCATCTAAAAGTGAAGTATTCCTTAAACACAAGGAATTGTAAAACAGTGACAAATGTTGTGGGGTGAGGGGAACCCAGCTGAGAATTGCTTTTGCCTCATGGACTCAATGGCCTTCATGCACTGAGCACCCGTGAGAGGTGCTGTGAGAGGCAGACCCTCTTTCAGCCTACCAGAAGACCACATACAGAACAATTGGGGGAAATGCTACACCGGTTTTAAATCAAGAAATTTTGGAAGCAACTTATTCACAAATAACAGAGGAATGTTTCATTTATTTAGTAAAATCCAGGGAAATGAGAAAGTCAATTCATATGTCCAGCCAGTGAGGATGAGGGAGGGAAGATGTTCATGGAGTACATCTGAATTAGATGCCCCCCACCACCTGGGCGATCCAGTGATCTCCAGAGACATCATTTAAATTCAGTCTTGAGTTGGGTGTAATCATTCATTTATTCACTCATTCAACAGACATTTTCCAAGCAGTCTACTATGTGCAGGCTTAAGCCAATTGTCTCCAACACACTTAATCCATGAAATTCAAGTTCTGACCTTTGTCTAAAGATAGGTCCTCACTCTCCCCACAAAGCACAGGTCAGCTCAGACTCTGGAGCTGAAGTTAACAGTTTTATGGCAAAAAGTACCAAGATTATCTGCCAACAGAAACAGCTGTCAAGGGAGCACACTACGTGTGCAAGTAAAAACCTGAAGGATCCAGACAAGATTCATGTCAGAGAATCAAATGTAGCCAGCCACATGCTAACACACACCTCTGAGCAAACCTATTCAGAACAAGGCCCGTTCAAACAATCTTTATGAAGGTTTCTTCATGTTATTTACAAATTCAAAGTAAATTTACTTTATAAGCAGCCAGGGAATCCTTTATTTAGTAATGTCCTGAAAGTTCACAAAACTGCTTCTTTCAAACCATGATACTGAGCTTATAACAATCCGGAAAAAGGAACTAAAACAAGGCAAACACAGTGCCTTAGAGATCAAGAAACATTTACATAGTTCAACTGTTAAAAATAGCTCAGCACTCATCCAGTGAGCACAGCTGTCCGTCAATGTTCACAGTACACCAGTCCTTCAGGGAGGGGAGAGACCTTTAGACTGCACTTCAGGTGTCTCCAAATTCGGGTCCTGGGCAGCGTCTTTCTGAGGCTGGTTTCCTTCCAATGCAGTTTGAGGTGTGACACTTGCATGTTCAGATTTCCAGGAAATGTGACTACCTTCCTGCTGCTTAAAAGACCAGATATAAGTAACGCAGATGTTATCATTTCCACTCAATTAACTGGCTAGAGCCATATGACTAGACACATTCTGAAAAATTTAGCACTAACAAATTCTGTAATGACAAATAGTAAATATGATAAAAATTGATACAGAATCATAATTTCAAGAGTCCTAATGACAACTCACTTGTTCTAAATGGCAGTCATTACCACAAAATTCCAGTACATTCAATCTAACAGTATTTGCTCTTAAGTTTTAGAATATGAGCCAAGGTTGCAAAAAAGAAAACAAACAAACTCTCCTTTAATTTCTGTCAAAGAGGAACAAAACCCATTTTAACACCAGCTTCTTTTTTTCAGTGCAGAGGGTAGAACCCCGGGTCTCACAAAGGTTGGGCAAGTGCTCCACCATTGAGCTACACCCCAGCCCAACAGTAACACTCTTATAATAAAGTACTCACAGTCTTTGTTTCTCCTACTCGTCTTAAAATGACACCTTCTGCCAATAAAGCCTTCCCCGTTTCCACAAATAATTTCTCTTCATCTATTTCTCCAAGCTTCTGCAGCTCAAGGTACTTCTCCACAAACCTGGAATCCCAAGCAACCACACCTGAGGTCTGTGTGCAGGGCACTCGGGATATGTGCTACACAGCACCAAGCACTACATTTTTTTCTAAAGTAAAGTTCAACAAAACTCCTCAGACTGATGACTAAATCCTTGTAGGGAGTAACTCACAGCTTGAAAATGGCTTACCGTTGACAGTTTGACTTGAAGTTTGGGTTGAACAGATCAAAAGCTTTTTGGCCAGACCCATAGGCAGAATAAAATTTCCTGGAAAATACGAACAATATGATATAAATCTCCAATTATAGATTGTGGACAGCAGGGCGGAAGGAATACAGAATAATTTCTAGGCCATGGGAAGTAAAGAGTTAATATCCCTCTCCCTTCTGCACCCCAATTTCCCAGTTCCTCTCTCAGGAAGCAATATGAACCAATTTCTTGCACATCCACCCAGAAATATCCCACACCAGCATCTATCATTCCCTGTCATAGTTACAATCCCAAAGAATGGGAGATCCTGCTCTATATCTTATTTTTTTTAATTGCAGTAAAGTTCACATAAAAATTTACTCAACTGAGCGACATTTAGTATAATCACTATGACCGCTTTCTAATTTCAAAACATTTTCATCATCCTCAAAAGAGACCCTGTAACCATTATGCAGTTATTCATTTCCCACTCCTAATGTCTTGTCTTATTAACAATTATCTCAAATCAGTACATACAGAATGTTTCCAGTTCTTTGCTGCTCTAGACAGTGCTACAAGAATTATCTGTATCTATAGTTCCTCCTTCACTGTGCACATAAGTCTGTGAATTAAATTTACACAAAAATGGTATTATTGGATCGAGATATATGCATTTGTAAATTAGCCTTCCAAACTGCCAAATGCTTTCCAAAGCAGCTGTACCAATTTACAGTCACACCAGTCGTGTAGGAGTGCCTGTCTCCCTGTATCCAAACCAAGCTATTATTATATTCCAACTTTTTGATCTTTGCCAACTTAATAGCTGAGAAATCATACCTCACTCTAGTTGTTTGTTGCAGTAGGGAAGACTGAACCCTGGGCTCTGTACTTCCTAGGAAGCACTCCACCACACTCCACCCTCCAGGCTTGCTCTTCATTCCTTCTCTATTTTTTCTCTCTCTCTCTCTCTCTTTCTAGACAGGGTCTTGTTAATTTACCCAGGCTGACCCCAAACTTGTGATTCTCCTGCCTTAGACTCTCAAGTAGCAGGAATTATTAGTTTTTGTTTTTGTTTTTTAGTGATCTTTTCAAGTGTAAAGGCAAATTGAATTTCCTTTTCTGTGAACTATCTATGCTCTTTTCTATTTGGTGGTTGCCGTGGACTGAATGTTTGTGTCCCCTAAAATTCCTAGGATAAAACCCTAATCCCCAAGGTTTAATGATGGGACCATTGAGAGGTTATCAGGCCACGGGTACAACCCGCATGACAGGATTAGTGCCCTTAGAGAAGAGGAGAGGGTTTGCTTCCTCACCCTGCTTGCCTCCATGTGAGGACAGCAAGAAGACCCTCTTCAAATTGGGAAGAGGGGTCCTACCGGAACTCTGATCTCAGACTTTCTAATCTCCAAAACTATGAGTAATAAATTTCAGTTGTCTACAAGCCACCCAGGCCACAGAATTTCTTATAGCAACCCAAACTAAAATAGTGGTCTTTTGCTTACTGGTCTATGAGCAAACCCTGTCGTTACGTAAATAGAAAATTAGTCCTTTGTCATGTGCTACTAAAATGTAGCCTGTAATGAGGTGCCCCTGGATTCAATCCCTAGTACAAAAAAAGAAAGGAAAGAAAAGCCTAGATCCCAATTAAGTAAAGACTTTATCAATCCATTTTCTTGCACTCAGGAATAATGATTAAGAATAAAGGATGTGTATTAACTTCAATTAGGCACAATCACCAATCTCAACATTTAAAATAAACTGTAGGTTTAAAACTGACGTCAGTGTTTGAGGGGAAGGGCTGTGTCAGTAAATTCTCAGTGAGTGGTGCAGTGCAGATCTATGTCCGGGAAAGCTGAATGTGGCCACAGAAGTGGCTTCTGATCCACTGTTCCAGGAGATGCTTCAGAGAGCTCACAAAACTCTGTTGGCTATTCTCCAAACAATTCTAATCTTGTTCCTTCACTCTTCCTTTTCAAGGATTTTCTTTTTTATTTACTTAGGTTATTTAGGTTTGAAGGGAAAGGAGAGGGAAGGAGGAATGGAGATTAATGAATAACACCTAATATGCACTTTGAAAGTAACTCTACTAGAGTGATTCTAATTAATCTATTATTTCATTCATTAATCTATTAATTTCTTCATCTGGGCAAAACTAATGAGCAACTTCCATGTCAAGTACTGGGCACTAATTACAAGGATAAATCAGATAGTAACTGGCCCATGGTAGTGCTTAATAAATGTGTATTGTTGCCAGGCACAGTAGCACATGCCTGTAATCCAGCGGCATGGGAAGCTGAGATGGGAGGACTGCAAGTTCAAAGCCAGCCTCAGCCTGAGCGAAGCACTAAGCAACTCAGTGAGATCCTGTTTCTAAATAAAATACGAAATAGGACTGGGGGTGTAGCTCAGTGGTTGAGTACCCCTGAGTTCAATCCCTGGTAGCCCACCCCTCACCTCCCACAAAACAAACCTAAATGTGTATTGTTGGATAAAGATGGTACTTGGCATGCAGAACTATTAAAGACAGGCTTCAGACTCTCACAGGGTCAATATGAATAAAGTACTCAGAATATTCTGGAAGACACTAACATGAGGAGACAGCAGAGAGCAACCTCTAAGAGTATGACATCTGAATTGTTCTTTACTGAGAAAAAATAGAGGACTTTAAAGTCATTTTTAAGAGGGTTGATGACAAACCATTAACAAGTACATGTTATTTAAGCTATTCAAGCTGCAGGGGGAAGGTGATACTCTAGCTTCATTTGCTTTTAGTTACTTAGGTTATTTAGGGTTTTGGGGTTTTTTAAGTTTATTTTTTTTAAGATACACACAATATCTTTATTTTATTTTATTTATTTTTAATTGGTGCTGAGGATCAAACCCAGTGCCTAATATGTGCAAGGCAAGCGCTCTGCCACTGAGTATAACCCCAACCCCAGTTATTTAGGTTTGAGGGGAAAGGAGAGGAAAGGAGAAATGGAGATTAAAGAACAAATATTTTTACTACTTTCAACACCTAATTTGCACTTTGAAAGTAACTCAGAAAAAGATAATTGAATTTACTGAAAAAGATCTTCCTAAACACTCTAAAACTAACGGCAATGAGGCCAACAGAAAGAAAAAAATTGGTATATTTGAATACATAAAATATTCCAGTGCTCAGCACAATGTCTGGCACAATAGTTGGCACATAGAAAG